GTCGAGTCCCGACCGAAGCGCACCCGGCGCACACCTACTAGGAATATAGCTGGCAAATCTCAATCGTCGTCGGACGACGACCGCAATGTCCAATCGAGGTTGCTGTCTCACTAAGAATTTTCTAGCTCGTGGCGCGGGGTGCTCGAGCCCTTCTTTATCCAAGGCCTACCCGCACGTTCTGGTTCCCTGTACGAGAATGCTAAAAGGGCCAAAGAGCCACGTGATGACGACTGACGACGGTCGGCAATGTATCCAATAGCGCTATCTTGTCCTGTGGTTCTTGCTGACAGTTGTACTACCTCGCAGTCAATAGGCACGAACAGGGGAATAATGCCTTATCGTTCACGTGCGCTATGGGAACCCGAGCATCTCGTTCTCCTCCTCTTTTGGCCAAGACAAAAGCGCACATTCGACCTCTCCAAATTCCCCCAACCCCCGAGTTTGCCGTGTATTTTTCTGCAGAGGAGAATACAGGAATAGTAGTAAGTCCTGCGCTTCTATGGGTCATACATGTCTGCATTTATGCCTTGTGTATCGAAACCGATAACGCAAAAGGAGTACAAAAGAAGAAAAGAATGAGAGAGAGGGAGAGAGATGCTTTCGCCAAGGAATGAACAGAATCTGCCAATCTGGTGAGCGCGTTCTCTCTCTCTCTCTCTCTTTACAATTTGTCAGGAGAGAGAGAGGCACCGAAAGGAGGCGGAGAGAATTGAATGGAACCAGCCTTTGCTTTGCTCAACACAGCTCTAAAGAATATACTTCCCACCCACCCCCATTTTTCTTCTTGGGCAAGTCTTCCAGCTCTGCTTTGGAAAAAGAGAGTGACTACTTTTTGTGATGATCGACAAGAAACGGGCGTAGTCGATAACAGCAGAGAGTTTGGCGAACAACAAAAGTCATGGACATCTAATATCGACTTGTAATTCGTGGGTGTCGCTAGATAATAGGAGACCGCGAAGTTATTTTATTCATGTGAATTTTGTAACCTCCATTTGTAACCGTTGAGCCACACCGTATTCTTTGTAAACTCCCGGTCAATCAACGAAAAACCTTTTATCTTTCGATTCCCGTACTTTTGGTTGTAGTTTCGGATATTCAATCGTCGATTAAATTCTGGCGTGTATTTTAGTTGTAGTTTTCGGATCTTCATCGTGGATTAAGTTCGTATCTTCATGTCATCGCACTTAGGGGTTTGCAAAAGGAACCGTCCGAATCGGACTGGTCGGTTCTGGACGGTTCCCAGGCGTACCGGTCCGGTTCTCAATTCCCAAAAAATGGAATCAACGATTTTCGATCTGGTTCCACGGGTAGAACCGTTCACCTAAACTGAATCAATATATATTAATTTCTTACAAATTTGTTAAAATTGAGCCCTACCCTTCACATTGTTCACAACAAAAAATCACAACCAGAGGTATGAAGGCGAAAATAGAGGTACTTGTCCTCGATGGAGTCGCTCTCTCACAAATCCTAATCTCAGTCAAGGGTGGCACAAAGGAGATTGATAAAATGTTAAAATGGTGTTTCAGCCTTTGAGACTGTTAAAATGTTGTTTTAACCTTTGATTGCTGGCCACCGGTTCCATTGGTCCACTCGGGAACCAAACCAGCCGGTCTGGTCCAATCTAGTTTCCGGTTCCACAGGTTCTCGGTTGTTTGGTGGGAATCAAATTGCCCGGGAATCGATCACCCCTAATCGCACTTTACTGTTGATTAAATTCCATTAAAGCTTTTTATGTCATTAGATTTCATCATTGATTAAATTCCGTTGAAATATATTTCTTCCTTGCACGCCGTTGATACGACTTATGTCCGGAATCATTACAAAACCCATCTCCTCTTTAAAAAAATTCAAAAAAGAATTTTGATGAAAGATATTTCGTTGTTGATTAAATTCCGGCGAAACAACTATCGTAGATGTCTAATGTGAGAAAAAAGTACATCGTAGGTGATATGCATTGTTGACCCTGGTGAAGGACTGGCGGTGGCCCCTTCCTGGTCCCAATTACATCCCCTTGATTAGAGAATGGATGCTCCATGAATTACGAGGGTTCGGCCCACAACTCAAGATTAGAATTGAGGAAACGAAAGCCGGCCGATCTGGGTGACCCGAGACACACGTTAAAAGGTCCTGGATCTCACCCCTTTTACTTCCCCGGTGGCCTCGGCGATAAGCGTGCTCGTCTTTCTTTCGAATTTTCCTTGACGCCGCTCGTTGTGTAATGACCCAATTTGAAGAGGGAAGGAAGTGGTTGCCGTGACCAGAAGGCCTAAATAAGGAGCGGCTCCTAGCAAGCTTCTAAAATGTCAAATAGGGCAGGAATGAACTGAGCTATATATCAAATAGGGAGAGAACGATTCTGAGATATATATGTGAAAATTGAAATTAAATCACTAAGGCGCCTTTTGACGTAACCACAATACTTAGTGTGCTCATGTGGGAGCACTCTCAAGATGGGTGACCTCCTAAGAAGGTGGCCAAACGGACAAAACGGTACAGCGAGGCTCGATATGAGACGGGCCAAAGCGGACAATGTCTCAGTGAGTTAATCCGGGCATCACACCTTGACGAACTGGAAATTTCACACAAATGACCAGAACCGTCGAGAAAAAATCGTAGGTCACACGCACCACAGCTCTAAAGTACGCCCTGCGAATTCGACAATATACGAGACTTATATACTGGAGCAACGTCCGGACATGGACGATGCGTGGTCGGAGATATATTAGATGCCAGAAACTATCCCACCGAGGCTTTGATGTCATCGCCGGTTGCCCCCCACTTGGCCTCCCACCGACACCATACTCATCCACGCCGACACGACTTCCAATCTAGCTAATGTGGGATACCCAAGACTTACCTATCGACGCAATCCGCTCGGACGCAATGTCTACGCCGGATGCGAAAGGGGTGTCGATGTGTTGGATAGCAGAAAAAAAAAAAGGAAAACCCGTGTGGGGCTCTCGCAGCACATGACGCGGAAACAGGGTAAAGCGAGACAAAAGAAAAATGATTGACTTCGCCCAGCGGGGGGCAAGACAACATATGCTTTCCCACACGGCACAGACATCGAACCAGCGTAGAGAGAGCGACATTATTTTAATCCAAAGAGCCGAAGGAAAGTGATGTCCCCCCCCCCGGTGGAAAGAGGGAGACCATCTTTTTTATTTCGGCAGCCTACGAAGAACAGATTCTGAAGTTTAATTCCAAAAACACAAAGCGTCAACTTTAAGTCGAGTGATAATTCTTGCTTCAATTTTTTTTATCTTATAAAAAATTATCAACTTTTTACTTAAATCCTAAACGTGGCCCATCCTGACTTAGAACCATTGATTATCCAACTTGATTATTCCACCTTAGCAATAAATTCACGTGATTTGCCGACTGGATTTAAAGCAATTTTCATTGTCTTCTTCTCTGAGCCACAGCTTGAAGAATAACAGTGAAACTGTTCATCTCCTTCACTTCACCGGTTAGTAAAAAAGATCTCCAAATTAAATTTCTCTGGTCAGACTTCGACATTTTGTCGTAATTTGAAGTTGTAGACTACTGCCCATCGACAGACGTCATGGATGAGATCCGCCAAGCTCACGACCATAACCTTTTTTTCTCAAACAAAGGTGACCTCAAATAGAAAATCAACAGGGGGTCAAATTTGGGATAATGGTGAAATTTTATGATTTTTTATGAGATAAAAAAAATTAGGGCTAGAATTGTCACTCAACATAAAGTTAATATTTTTTTATGGGAAAAAAAAGTTGGTTCCGACTGGGGACCACTGGGGACTACACGACAAGCAGAGAGCCGGCGGGACGAGATGGACGGACAGCATTTACTCCTTGACCGGTCTTCGCAGGACAACATTACCTCACCGACGTTCCAGTAAGATGTTAGTAGAGAGAAGAAAGAGAAGAAGAAGAAGAAGAAGAAAAGCCTGGGAAGAAAAGGGGGCGATGGATGGAGATATGATTCGAGATCGGCCATTGTTTCTTTGCTTAAAGCCCCTTTCGAGCTCGTGCCCTCACCTTGTAAAATGGCTTTTGACGCATTTTAATCTTACACGTGGGAATAGATTCGTTCCTCGCCCTCTCTTCCTTTCTTTTCTTTCTTTCCCCGTCTCGGTAATGGCGTTCTCGTCCGGAACTTTTCGACTACCCGACTTGTCCCCGTCGCCTGATGCGATAGTTTTCCATTTCGAGCAATCAGATCGACGGAGTTCTAATTCGTGACGGCACTGATCTTTCCTTGTGCTATTTGTCAATGGGTATTGCGAGATGTCAATGTCTATATGGGATGAGATCTTCTGCTCTGATGGGCCGTCTCCATTCGGTTTCTTACCGGTCCAAATCATTTATCCGTATATGTGAATGTAGTCTCGAAACTTATGACTCGCCTATCGGACAGTCGAGATTTGTCGAGCCATTAACAGAGACAGTCGAGCACGTGATCAAGGATCCTTTCCCGAATGAGCCCTTTTTCGAGAATTCAAATTAGCCCTGAAAGTAATTAAAGAGCTCTAATTAAACCTAACCAGCACGAAATTAGCCAGATGAATCATTCACATCAATTTGTCCTAATGTGGGAATAGGAATTGCGTTTTGCACCAAATAGATCCAGCTCGAGATTGATTGCTCGAGACGCAGGAGGGAATTTGAGGGCATTAACTCTGTGGGCGGTTGCGACTATTCAATTTCGAAGAAGTGGGATCCTCCCAAAGTTATTAATTTCTCGAACCACTGCCCTTATGTCTAATCGTTAATGGTACCCAAAAATTTCGTATCATGACTCACGACCAACCTTGTCATACCATGTGCGTCATAAAGTCGAAATCACCCACCAACATAAATAATTACCTTCGATCGTGTGGTCTCTGATGCTTCGGAGCACATTAGCAGATAACCCCGTCGCTTTACTTAGGATTAAATCGAGCATTTATATGAGGATGAAGTAGTTTCGTGTTGTAATTTATTGAGAGAATTCCTATTTCAAATTCGAAAAAATCGCAAAGCAGGGTAGCTGTTGAATAAAATTGCGTTAGGATCTAGGAAATTTTCTGGTGAGCGAAGTCTATTTATTCTCCATCACTTTCTCCTACGCGTTTCATCTTTCGAAGTGATTTATAACGATTCCTCAGCACGAGACCCCCGAATCCCAAGACCAAAAACACCCCATGCAAACCAAGATGACGTCGCTCTCTTCCCCTCGCGCTTCGAGCCTCCGCTTGATCTTGTGCTGCTTCTTCCTGTTCTTGGCCGCTCAGCCGCCACCGCCGAGGGCCTTCGCCGCCGCTGCGCGGTGGCAGCTGCTGCAGAGCAACATCGGCATCGTGGCCATGCACATGCAGCTCCTCCACAACGACCGGGTGGTCATCTTCGACCGCACCGACTTCGGCAAGTCCAACCTCTCCCTCCCCGACGGCCACTGCCGCCACGACCCCACGGAGACCGCCGTCGTCGACGACTGCACCGCGCACTCCGTCGAGTACGACGTCGCCTCCAACGCCTTCCGCCCCCTCATGGTCCAGACCGACGTCTGGTGCTCCTCCGGCGCCGCCACGGTCGACGGCAGCCTCGTCCAGACCGGTGGCTACCGCGACGGCGAGCGGCAGGTCCGGATCTTCGTCCCGTGCTCGGACGGCAGTTGCGACTGGCGGGAGATCGCGAACGGTCTGGGAGCGCGCCGCTGGTACGCGACCAACCAGATCCTCCCCGACGGCCGCCAGATCGTCATCGGCGGCCGGCGGCAGTTCAACTACGAGTTCTACCCGAAGAGCGGCAGAGCTCCGAACGTCTATAGCCTGCCGTTTCTGGTCGAGACCAACGACCGGGGCATCGAGAACAATCTCTACCCGTTCGTCCACCTCAACGTCGACGGCAACCTATTCATCTTCGCGAACAACCGCGCGATATTGTTTGATTACGTGAACAACAAGGTGGTCAGGACGTACCCGACAATGCCCGGCGGCGACCCGAGATGTTACCCGAGCACGGGTTCCTCTGTGTTGCTTCCGCTGAAGACTACCGCGCAGTCCGCGAAAAATGTCGTAGCTGAAGTGTTGGTCTGTGGCGGAGCTCCGAAGGGAGCTTTCACGCAGGCGATGGGTGGGAAATTTCTGGGAGCGCTGAACACCTGCGGGCGGATCCGAATAACCGACCCGAACCCGCAATGGGCCATGGAGACGATGCCCCAGGCTCGGACCATGGGCGACATGGTAATGCTGCCGAACGGTGACGTCCTGATCATCAACGGCGTGGCGGCGGGGACTGCCGGGTGGGAGTACGGCCGCAACCCCGTCCTCAAACCGGTCATCTACCGGCCCGACGCACCAGCAGGTGGGCGCTTCGCGCTCCAGGACCCATCTGGGATCCCACGGGCGTACCACTCCACGGCGGTGCTGCTGCGCGATGGGCGGGTGCTCGTCGGTGGGAGCAACCCCCACAATTACTACAACTTCACCGGAGTGATCTTCCCAACCGAGCTCCGGCTCGAGGCCTTCCGGCCGCCGTACCTGGACCCGGAGCGTTCAGGCTCGCGCCCGCAGATAATCTTTCCGAGCTCTCAAGCCAAGATCAGGTACTCACAGAGCTTCGTGGTCCGGTTCACGGTGGCGGGGAACGTCTCCACGGACGCGGTGTCGGTGACAATGGTGGCGCCGCCGTTCACCACGCACTCCTTCTCGATGAACCAGCGGTTGCTGGTGATCGGCGGCGGTAAGGTCGCCAATGTCGGGAGTTCGGCTTTCACGGCGGACGCGGTGGCCCCGGGTTCCCGCAATTTGGCTCCGGCGGGCTATTACATGCTGTTCGTGGTTCATCAGGGGGTTCCGAGCGAGGGCATTTGGGTCCAGATACAGTAATTACTCGTGTGGGGGATTGAATTTTCCTTGATTTTAACACATGGTGCGTAAATAATTCTATTTTTTTCGATATAATTTTTTCTTTCTCCCAAAGGAAAATGGATGGCGTCATAAAGTGAGTGGCATTCTAAGGTTTCCCATGGAAGCTTATGGACAGATTGCTTCAGCAATTTTTTCTCTTTATTTTTTCGTGCGGTCATACTTATATAATTTTTCATACGGTCATATCATATTAATGTATTTAAAGGATACTACAGTAAAGTCCTTATTATATTAATAAAGATCTTGTCATTGGTGTTGTCTTTTCGATATTGCATCTACCACTAAAAAAAATGAGCTCATCTTATTGATGGCTATTTTATTGACTGTACTCGTACATTTTAGCCATTTTGGTAACACAAAAAATTGTGTCGAAAATAGAAATTAGTGAAAGAAACGAGAGGAAAAGACGTGCATGTCTAAATATGTTAGAAAGAACTTTGAAGATCGAAATTTGATTTGAAAAATCGATCTAAATTGTTGTAGGATGAGGGGGGATTTAAATTTAAATTTAAATTGTTGAAGAGTTGAGATATAAATTTAAGTCCGAAATATGTGGGGATTTGAAGAGATTTCCTTGTCGTTATTCAGATTTTCTTTTAACTTACTTTTGTAATGAAATTTCACAATTTTCTTTTTGACACAATGAAATTTCATAATTCATTCGATAATAGTTACAAATAAAACTTTTGGTAAATATTTAAGATTGAAAACTATCATCTTCTTGGTTTTTTCTTTTTTGCTAATAAATTAAACCAGCTCAAAAGAGTAGGCACTACTGCTAGACACATATGCATTTTAGGAAAATGGTAAATGTATACACAACAAGAATAAAATAATAAGTAAGATAAACGAATTATTGTACCAAATGAATTCGATTTTAATAGGGTATATGATGAGGAAGGTTTGAATGTAAATTCCGATCACATGTGAGACTTGGGGCCCATTTGGTTCAACTTTGCAAATGAGACTTTAGGGAATGCAAATACCTTCAGGTTAAAACCCTTGAGGAAATGCAAATGGCGTTTGATAAAAAATCATTTGTGAAGCTACTTTAGCCCCAGTAGTGTTTGGCAAATTTTTTTTGCAAAAGGCTTTGGGAATTTTCTTTTTTATTAAAAAAAACTTACCCTACCCTTCGCCGGAGCCGGCGAGCTAGATCTGGCGCTGTCGTTCGAGGTCGGGCAACCCCCGGCGAACCAGATCTGCCACCGGTGACAGTCCCGAGGCCGGGCGACCCGCCTGGAGTCGCGCGACCTCGACGACCGTCGCCTGAGGTCGCGCGACCTCACCGACCCTATCCGGTGTCAATCACCCTCGTCGACTACCCTCGCGCAAAAGATAAACAGTAATAAGAGGGGCAAAACCGAAATAAGCCAGAATAAGTTAAGGTAGCATTCCCAATGTTGGTTTTCAGCCGAAAGCCCATTGGGAATGCTTGCCAAACGGTTTAGCATTTTCCCAAGGGGCTTTCGAGGCCGAAAGCCCATTTCTAAAGCTGAACCAAACACCCCCTTAATGTTGCTTGAATCAACAAAAATGTTTTTTTTTTTTCAAAATTTTCCGAAATTAAAATGATATCTTAAATTCGGCCTTTTTTTTAAAAAGAATTTCGCTTACATTTCATCGTAAATTAATATGCATTTGAAAATACCTTACTACCTGGAAAGCACGTCTCCACGACATGATAATATTTACCAAAATTTTCAAACTAAACATATAACTCGGATAAAGTGTGAATGAGAGTGGCTTCATCGTCTTCATCCGACACCCTCCACCTATTTTTTTATCATTTTTACCAGGAAAAATCACTTGATCAGGGGAAAAATGAAAAAAAAAAACCTTCATTAAATAGTAACAATACGTTTTGACCAAAAAAAAAATGCAGTAACAAAACGCAATCTATATTCCATTTCCGTAATTTCTACAATTCCTAAGAATTTAGCTAACCTTCGAAGAGAACTATGTTGGGCCACTAAATGGACGTATCTTGTTCTTTTTTCAGTAGAAATTTGCGTGTAACTTTAGTGTAATTACCACTCCTTCCTAAAGTGGGGCGACACACTTCGTTTTCACGTTAAGAGGCAGCCATTTCCCTCTCTATTAAGCTATCCAGCTGTCTTTCAAAAATGAAAGGATTAACACCATTGAATATTCAGAATTTGCGCTCTCAAAACACATTTACCTTAAATTAATTTTTCGTCCCACAAAAAATCCCCAACCGCTATCCTATAAGACATTTCCCCAGACATCGCGTCGTGGGATACCGGGTTCGGATTTTTCGGCGGGACGAAAACTAGTTTGAGGTAAAATGCATCGTGGGGGTCATCAATTTAGGGACTGTTTGCAAGACAGAAATTAGTTTGGGGCAAATGTGTAATAGGTAGACCTGTTAAACGGGTGTGTAGGATCGGGTTTGGCTCGGATCGAAAATGGTCCGACCTAAATAGACCCATTTAACCCGTTTTGATCCATTTTCATGTAATGCAAATCTAATGACCCATGCACGACTGATTCATATTGCTAAAATACTTACACATTTAACTCAATTTAGGAAAATCCATACCTAAACTAAGATGAGAGTGCGGAGTGAGCGAGCGCAAGAATGAGTGAAGGCGAAAGAGATTAGTTGAGTTTAAATAAGTTGCAAACCGATTTATTACCCATTTACGACCCATTTAATACCCATATTATCATTAAACTCATTTATTGATATATAAGTTAATAAATTGATTTTTGACTCATTTTGGCAGGTATAATCATGGGATATCGACTTTGGATATCCTAACGGTATTAACCCGGTAAGGAGACGGGAGATATATGCGAAGGAAAATAGATGTTTTACGACGCACGACGAAGCTCAATCAATGAAGCGAGAGAGAGCGAGAGAGAGAGCGAGCGAGCAAGAATTGTAATGTCTTTTCGCGTTAACTTCATTGCGTGGACAACTCGTGCAAGACTCGTTTCCAAACAGGTGTTTGTGTACGTACGTAATGTCTCGAATCGAGATTAGACGTGAAGTTTCCGCTGTCTATTCGATATTTGGTTCTTGTCCGAAAAAAGCCGAAAAACAGACGAGCAAGAGTCACTCTCCTAGCCAACTTCACCCTGAAAAAAACACAAAGGTCGTAATCAAGAATCCTTTACGCAACTTTCGAACTCCTCTTCTCATTTATTTATTTTTGCATGCTTTTTTCGACTCACGGTCCGCACGACATCCACACATAATCAACTAATATGTCCAAAAATCACGTTCGTTTTCTAAACCCATGCTCTTTTTTTTCCCCTCTTCCGATTGGTTGATCATGACATGATTAATCGCTTATTTATTGATTAGTCATTTCGTATGGTCTCTACATTAATGTATTTTGTTCTTGCCAGCTGTTCCCATTGGATCGACGTGATTGATTTTCCATTCATTCGCTTTCGGGATTTGGCTTTTGTTTTGTAGTGATGCAAGCTTTTTGCTGTTTCGATTTTTTTGCCGCGAAAGTTTATGTAGTTCTTCGTATATCATTTTGAGTAATGAATACTACTTTCTTTCAATCCAAAAAAAAACAAAAACCATTCGCTTTCCTCGCCTGAATCCGAGACGAAAGCCATGACCAGACCCGTATACGCAAGTTCCCATGACTCGAATCGACGGAAATTCGATACAATCTCTCGTGGGTACCATGCAGTCCGTTCCGATCATTCGGTCATGGAAGGAAACGGAAGCAACGAAGCGGAGGACCGCCAGCTTCTGCGTCCGTCCATTTCGACTCTTCATCTACCGTTCACTGGGATCACCTTTTAAATAAAAACGTACCATCGGAATGCATGGTTTTATCACGTAACGTGCGACATCGGAACTGCCGCCGTCGGTGCCACTCAATCAGCAAAATCTCCTCTTTCAATGTGTCGTTAGATAATCGATCGATCACTTGGTTTTCTGTATCGGGAAATGTCGGGTTCAGGACGCTTTCGGATCTTTCTTCTTCTTCGTACATGAATGAGCAGGATTTTGCAATCTCCAAACTCGAGGACCGATCACATCACATGTCTATAAAGACGGGAAGGTAAAACGAGTCCCAAAAGGACTACACGGATAGGGAGAATCGGCCTAGAACGGGAACAAAAGTACGAGTTAAAAAGCTTTAGCAGTAGGGGGATGTCTGCATATGCTGCTGCTGTGTTTGCTCTTCATGTGAACGACACGACATTCCCCTCCTGGTCCCACCAAAACAACGGCGCTATCAATCCTCGGAAATTACTTATTGTTAATGATAATTGGATTATGCACGACGAGCGTAGCTAAGCGCTTGCGTCAAGTAATCAAGGCTCCGTTTATTTCGCGAAAAATAATTTAGAAATAATTACTTGTATGGCTCGAAATAATCAGTCGATACGAAACGCTTGATTATCGACAGCAATTTTAGTCTAATTATTTTCGCGAACGATCGAAGTATTATTCGTTAATCCATAGCTATCATTTTCGGGAAAGTATTTTCTGAATCATTAATTTTCTGCTAAATTAACGCAACTCAAATCTTCGTGATAAAGAATATTTTCTATAGAAACCTGTTTCAAGGAAAATAGTTTGTTTTCATTTGTTATTGCCATAAAGGGAAGTTGTCTTCCCCCAATCTAAGGTTGTGTTTTATAATTCGTGGAAAACGTTTTCTAGTCATCCGCTCACTTGAAAGTCAGAAAGCAATATCCCGAAAATAATTTTTCCTTCAAACAAACGGAATCTAAATGATTTTATGAGAATCAAAACATTGTCAGTATAGTATGCTCATCAAGACCCATTATTAACAAGAATTTTGTTAAAAGTATTTCGACCGCACACTGTTAAGCAACCAATCAAGAAAAGTTAACGGCGCTCGGTGCACTATCTCTCTCGTTGCATTACATGCGATCAATGTCAAGAGAATCGAATCATTACCGTCGCTGCTGGTGGCAAGATAACGTGGAGTGGCTCTGCTTACAATGATGATTCAACGAAAAGTATTTTCATTAAATATAAATTGTTGTCGCTAATGAAAACATTTTTCATTGGCTAATTATTTCGAGCAATTACGATCATTTTCTTATAATTGACACGAGATTTGGATCTGTGCGCATACTGTGGGCGGAGGGGATGGCGTTTAGCGGTGGTCACGGGATGCTGTGTTGCACAGTTGCTATGCAAAAGAGTTCACGGGCTTCAAGTTGGCGATTTGCCTCTGTCAATCTTGCATTCTGGTCCCTCTTGGATGGCTGTTTGGATCTTTAGGGGATGTGAACAA